AGGGTTAGTAATTTAAGTAGCTATAGATTGCTATTAGTAATGCAAACATACTATAATGTTTTTTTTAAAAATTATTATTAACACAAATTTTCTTATATTTATAATTTTAGTATCATTTCTGTTATTTAAGATTTTGTTTTAATAAGAAAAAAAAGTTTATATGATAAAATTTGGTTTAAAACATATTACAAATATGATGTGTGATTTTCTCTTATTTTTTATATTATTAAAGATTTTTTTATTAGTAAAGCAATTATATAAAGTTTTAGAAATTAAACTACCAAAATATGTACACATTTAGGCATACATGTATTTCTCTTATCTATTAGTAAAATGTTTTTGCTATTAATCAAGCAATCTCAATAAATGCCTTTTGCACATCTGAACGGTTGCATCTTTTTATCGCAACTTTTTGTAAATATTGGCGGTTATTTTTTGGTTGTTTATTTTTATTGCAACTCTTCGTTAAAATATTGACGGTTATACTTTTAGTTAACGGTTATTTTTTGGTTGTATATTTTTATCGCAAATTTCCGATAAAATATTAGCGGTTACTATTTTCATTTGTGTCTTTTTATCGTAATTTTCCGTTAAAATATTGACGATTATTTTTTCTCGGTTGTGTCTTTTTTTTATCGCAACTTTGCGTTAATATATTGACGGTTATTTTTTCTCGGTTGTGTCTTTTTATCGCAACTCTTCGTTAAAATATTGACGGTTATTTTTCCTCGGTTGTATTTTTTATCGCAACTCTTCTTTAAGATATTGACGGTTAGTTTTTTCGTTACGGATATTTTTTCGGTTGTGTCTTTTTATCATAATTTTCTGTTAAAATATTGATGGTTACTTTTTTCGTTTGTATCTTTTTATCGGAACTTTCCGCGAAAATATCAACGGTTATTTTTTTGGTTATATCTTTTTATTGCAACTTTCCGTTAAAATATTGACGGTTATTTTTTCTCGGTTGTGTCATTTTATCGCAACTCTTCGTTAAAATATTGATAGTTATTTTTTCTCGGTTATGTCTTTTTATCACAACTCTTTGTTAAAATATTGACGGTTACTATTTTCGTTGACAAATATTTTTTTGGTTGTGTTTTTTTCTATCGTAAATTTCCGATAAAATATTTACGGTTATTGTTTCTATGTTATGTCTTTTTATCGCATCTTTTCATTAAAATATTGATGGTTATTTTTTTGGGACAGTTCTATTTTTTTTTAATTATAATCGTATTTTTTCAGTTTATGGTTGCGTCTTTATAGTTGCATCTATTCATTTAGATACGTCTCTTCACTATATTTCATTTTATTTTTTCTTCATAACTTTTTATATGAATAGTTGTCTATTTAAATGTTCATGACTTTTGAACTCTATAATACTAGATTTTGTGCCCAGCGCAATGCGCAGGATTTTTAGTTAAAAATATTTTATCATTGTAAATTGTTGAATATAAATATAATCATTCAAATTTTAAAAACTAAACTTATTGTAAGTTATATACAACAGAAATATTAGCGACAATATTATTTTATTGGCAAAGTAACAATTCAATACATAGTATGTTGTAGAGAAGTCCGGCGATGAATCCGATAATTCGTCCACTAATCTATGTCATGTATATTTTTAGAACTCATTTTTTCACATCTTTAGTCGTGTGCATTATCTTTCTAAGATTAAATAGTTTTTTTTAAACACTTTTTCATTACCATTTCTTCCGTCATCTTCCACGATGCGCTCGCTTCCAACAGTCTACTCTCTTTTCACTTGATATTGGCTCACATATAATATATTGATATGTGAATTTATTATCAAGGCAAATTATAAATATTTCCTCCTTCATATCTTGCAATACTCAGTTTTTTTTTTTGATGAGTTGCATGAGGTTCTTGATGAAGTGAACGTCATAAAATCTTGTGGATATATCCACTTTGTCGTATATATCTTTTATCGTGTTATGATGTATGTAAAATTTGCTTCCTAGATTAAAAATCTCATATATGGACTTGTTCATATTCAAAGACATCGAATTTCAACATCAAACTTTACACTTTAGCTCTTCGGACATATAATTTTACGTATATCATAATTCTAAATAGTACTCTATATATTTATTTTCCTAAAATGTGTAACTTATTCTAAATTTAAAATATGTGTAAATTAACAATTTTTCCTTATTTCTAATTAAAATCTCTACAATCTAGCATTACTATTATATTTGCTATCTAATTTAAAGATCGAACTATCTAAATTTTTATGTTTATTCACTTTCTATTGACATTTATTTTCTCTATTTTTTTGTGTTGTATTTTTATCATTTCATTTTTTATACTTTGATTTATTTTTTGAAATTGATGTCTTTCTTTCATGAAAAATAATAATATAAAAATGGAATTAAATTTAGTTTTCATATTCTTTAATTTTAATAGATAAGTTATGTGTGTTCCATAAATAAGTTATGATGATGTGGATGCTGATGTGGACACCTTATATGGAGAGAGAACTCTCCCATTATATATATAGATTATACTAACAAAAATTTATTCTAAATATTGTAGGTTTTGGCTGCATCTTTATCTATACTTGATAGTTTTACCTTGCTTAAATTGGGTGTTGAAACCAAATAAATAACAGAAGATATTTACCTCCTCATCTCTAAGAGGAACGTAGCACTATGTTTATAGCTAAATGCATCTTCAGTTTGAAATACATCTAAATCCTGTCTCGTCCTCAAAGAACCTTATAATACCCATATACATAATATCGTTTTTACTTTTATGATTTGTAACATTAACATCACATGAACACCGTTGTTGATGTAAGTTATAAAAAATACACTAACCCACAGGATTCTAACGTACGTGAGAGAGAGAGCTCCTGATTAGGCGATTAGCATAACACAAATCTTTTGGTCAAGAGAAACTTCATATATGGGCTTAGCAACAACACATAGTTAGTTTTTAATATGATCTTTTATTTATCTTATAGATGACATAAGATCATTTATTCATTTATGTTAAAAAATTGTAATATTTTAGGTACAAAAAGAATAAAATTAATTTCTACTTGAGTCATTATGAGCCATTAACCATGTGTACTTGTTAGAAGTCTATCCACTGATCTATAAAACACAAGAAGTGCAAAGAGATGCTGAAAATAAAATCTTCAGCAAAACCTATCTTCAAAATTCAAAACTTTTGATACAATCAAGTATAGACTATCTTCTCATACAACTAATTCTCAAATTGGTAAGTCTAGAGAAAATAAACACAACCAATAAAGGAACCAAATCTTAAAATGGATGTTGGAATCGTGGCTTGGCCTCTGGTGCAAATTGGTTTAGTCCAACGACATAATAGTTTCCACAATATAAATCTAGGAGACAGTCTGGGGGCTAAGGAACATGAATTCAGCATCTGATCGAGAAAGACAAAAGTGCAAAATCTGTAAGGAACACCAATCGATCGACTACCAGTCTCAGAAAATACATATCTTATATATAGTTGTAAATATGCTTTTTCACCTATATAAATGACTAAATTATTATTTCATTTCAGAATTTTTTTATGTAGATTGTTGTTTTGCAAATCACCGAAACCCTTTTAGCGTGTGTGATGCTCTTCGAGTTCCAAGTTCATTATACAGCATTAGACCATCTCCAATATAGAGCTCTATATCTTACTCTAAAATAGAGTTACTCTATTTTAGAGGAGGGTTTCTCTCCAATGTCTCTATTTTTTATTCTAAAAAAGAATATTCTTAGAAATATTCTATTTCTATTTTATATACTAATGCCTTTTAATTATATAATTTACAATTTGACCCCATATATTATAAATTTGCAAAATTTCCATAAAATATGAAATTATTTAAATTAAACACTAATTATTTATTAAAAAAAACATTACATCATATAACAATAATAAAACATTACAAATTTTATTTTAAATAACACCATTAGAATATTTTTCCTACATATGATCAATTAAAACATTTCGTAGTGAGAAATGAGCTTCTTTATCTTTGATTTTTTTAAATCTACCAAGAAACTCTTGAAACCGGATATTATGCTTTGAATGAGCTAAGGGAAGAAAACAAAATAAATGTGATTTGAATTCCTTTCAAAACCCATATGTTCGGGCATATTTTGAGAGTGAACAAGCACGGATTTTACAAAAACGACGTGTCCAACAACAAGATCAAGATAGAAAAACTCCTCCTCCATCTACTTCATTTGGACAATATTTTAACTATCTTGGCGGATCTACAAGCAATTTATCGGACTATTAAATTACTAGTTTTATGTTTTAGTTTTCTTATGTTGTTTATTTTAAATTTAGTACTTGTTTGCTTGTTAAGTTTATAAAGCTATGTGTTGTAATTGTTGTTTATAAAATGATTATATGTATTAAATAAAAAAGTTTAAATTTGAGGGACTAAAGTATAAATAAAAAAGTTGAACTCAAAAATAGAGTTGAGAATAGAGTTGCTCTATATATAGAGTCAATCTGCAGAAATCTCTATTTTAGAGTCAATTATAGAGTAGGGTTGGAGAAGAATTTTGCATTTTTACTCTAAAATAGAGTAGAGTTGGAGATGCCCTTATTATGTCTCGGATTAGTCCATGACAATATAAGCAATAGACTAGTAAATCCTCGCAAAAAGATTATTTAATGTAATTGCTGGAGATTAAGCGTGACTAATAAAACATCAATTAAGGAAGAGAAAGAAATAAAAAAAGGCAAGAAGAGAGATAGCATGATAAAGGAGATGATCACTTTACAGAACATAAAGACTTTACAAAACAGAATGTGATGATTTGTGACAACCACCTCGTTTTTTTTAATATGTGCTATAATGAGAAGCAACACATTTAAAGATTGAAGCTTGTCTGTAAAGTAACAAACTTTTTTGGTCACTTTGAGAGAATCAATAGGTATCATTATAAAGCTGTAAAAGGGTTGGTGAAAGCCATCACATTTTCTGCAATCTTTAAAAGAAACTGATGTGACAAGAAGAAAGAATTTTGAAGAAGCAAGAAAGGTTATATGAGGAGTTTGGTGTATAGGAAGATGTGGTGGGTTGTACATCGACGGATGAGCAAGAGGAACTTAAATCGTGATTGTGAGGTATATGTAGCAAAAATGGTTCGAGATTTTGGATTCGTATATTTTCAATATTAGACATGTAATTTTAAAAGAAGTGTTTTGTGATTTTGACAGAATAAGAGGATATGTGAGTTGGGGAAAGACTTGGAGGAGATACTTAAGGGGAGGCTCGAGACGATAGAAGAGGAACCGGAAGTAGAAGAGCGAGAGCGGTTAGGAGACTCGCAGATGCAGAAGCCAATGTTGATTAAGGCTAAGATGAAAGTGGAGAAAGGAAAGGCAATAGTAAAAGCAAAAGTGAAGAGTGGGAAAGTGTTTTACATGTTGTGTGTAATCGGCTTAGCCTCTAAACGCGGGTTTAATGATCTTGTTCTTCACTAAACCTCTCTCAACTCCTAATTTTCTTCTTCTTTATTTTCTTTTATTTTCTTGACTGTGGATGTATATATATGTGTGTATTTATTTCGGTTATACTTATGGTGTAACGCAGTTTTGTGTTTGTTTTCTCTTTTCTATCTCTAGTAGAGATTCTTTATGTAGTTTAGCACATATAGTTTGGTGCAATTCTGGCCTAGGGTTTAATTTGTTGTCTCATGGCCACTCCTAAAAGCGTTTGTGGGAGATTAGGGAAGTTATAACCACTAACATATCCTCAAGAGCTTCTCAATCAAAAAGCTACGACTCTATCCGTTTCAATATAAGTGTCATTTTAACGTTTTCGAACGGATTTTAAAACAAGTTAAACTTTTCATTGTACTTCTAAAAATAATATTGATTTTTGATTCTTTTAAAATATATATTTTACATATTTTATTAGTTTTAAGTATGGACAAATCATATATTTTATCAGTCAAAATTTATAATGAAATCATAAAATGAGATATATTTATATGAAATGGATGAAGTATGAGAAAGAGAGAGAAAATCCACACGAGTATTCTTGATCACACTTAAAAGATGAAAAAAGTTGAAGTCATGAATCAACCATGGATCAACTAATTACTACGAAACTCTTGCCGGTTTAGTATTAACTCGCAAAGATCATGAACTTCTTCTTCCCCCACATAGTATATAACTTTGTTTTCAAATTCTAGAACTATAGAGTGATGATTCTAATATCAGCTAGTATGAAAAATCTTTCCCTAGTTATAGTTCCTTTGTTTTTCTTTTTTCTTACGATTCTTGCATCCACCGAGCCTCCACATCTCATATTGAGACATGACAACTACAACCAAACCGATCTCATCTCTGCCATGACCGACATGAGAAGGCAATCTTACAACGGTTTTGTCATCCTTCTCCGTTTCCTCAACGATACAAATTACTTCAGGAACACAGATATTACTTTCTTGATGCCTAGCGACAACGATATTTCTCATGCAGACATTACTCCAGAGAATCTTGAGACATTTATCCTAAAACATACCATCCCGGCATGGCTTATGATCAATCACATGCTTCATTTTCCAAACAGAACTCTTGTTCCTTGTAGCCTCTCTGATAAAATGTTCACCATCACAAAATCTGGAGGGTCCGGGATTTATGTGAACAATGCGAGGATTGTTACTCCTAATGTTTGTCAGAATTCTCGTATATCTTGCCATGGAATCAGTGACGTTATTGCATTCAACCAAAACTATATGTCAACGAAAATGTTATCATCCGTTCGTCGAAACATCACTTCGTTGAAGCATTGAAGATCTTTCTTTGTCCCATAAGATTCGGAGGATGTGAGATTCTCTTCTAATGTTTCTAAAATAAGTGTTATAGATTTCTCAAAGTCATGTACAAGTTGAAGTGTGCCAATTTTACTTTAGACTATATGTTGTTGTAAACTTTTATTTCCAAAGATAATGGTAATATAATTCACCCTCTAAGTGCTTTACCTAAATCATTTTTTTTTTTGTATAATGTTATATTTACCTAACTAATTTAATCAACCAATAGAAAATTAAACTAGCAGAACAAAAATTAAAAACTTCGCATTAACAAAAAGAGGGCACACAAATAAAGAAACAGCAGTACGTAAATATAGGGACGAAGATGATGATAAAGTTTTTCACCTAAGATATACGAAAATATTTTTTTATCATCGACAATTTTATAAATATAAAATACCTATTTTCCCACCAGTAAAATACTTTTAGATCCATTCCTAGGTCTACAACTACAAAATAGTGTTGTGAAAACCAATCTAAGATAAACAAACAAAAACTTTCAACAAATTAAAACTCTAACCAAACTCTATATAAAAGAGTAAAATTTGAATTTTTTTTTCTTCTAAATTCTAAAAGAACATATTAGTAAAATAAAGCCAAATTAAACCAATGAAAATTGTATAAGATTAACCTGATTAATGCTATACAATTTCCCTCTTTCATATTACTACGGATGAAAATATGTTTTTGTTTGGACAAATCCAACACTGGTATGTTATATTAGAGTAAACTAGTGAGCGTAAATTTTGTTGCGTCCACCAAATTTTAGAGTTAAAATCTACGTTGACAAAAAAATAAATTATTTGCTGATAAAAAAAATAAAAACTGTATGTAGCAATCCACCTGTAATATATGCCTTCAACTAGGATCATATTGTACTTTCAACTTCTACTCAATTCACCATATACTTTTCATCTTCCAAATTCCACCTAATCTATAAAATTCTATCCAATTAATCTCTAAAATTGCGATTTGAAATCAATAATTACTTTAAATATGACAGTCCGAAAGAATATGTTTTCTCTTGGTTTACTCTATATAGTTTTTTTTTTTTTTTTGATATACCCGATCGGTTGATCCGGTCAGCTCCGGGGGAATACACTAAAGTGATACCATGTGGACTCGTCGCCAACACCTACGTATTGGACTACTATACTGCCTAACCCCAAGTTTGGAATGCTTTCCGACTAATGCCCGGGGATATCCAGTTAGCATGATCCCAGATACCATGTGAATTGCTTGGACCAAGGCCTAAGCCTAGACTTTCCACACAAATGTGATTTTTGTTTCCAAGGTGGATCGAACCTTGGTTAGTTCCTTCCAACCTTTCCCCAATTCTCCCTTACCACTAGACCACAACTGTGTGGACTACTCTATATAGAATTGAGGTTAGTCTGAACTATATTCTCACCCGTTCCCTTCAGATTATTAGGGGAAGGCTTTCGATTCGGGGAAAAACTAGACTAACCCGTGTAGTTAAGTGTGCACTTAAACTTGAAGAATGACGAAAATAAGAAACTTTTTTTTCAAGTTAATAGATTTCTGTTCATGGTTGGACTAACCAAACAAAAACCAAACCGTAAACAAGAAAAATGTATGTACACCCTCTAATAGAATATATCCCCTTGACATTAAAAAATGCTACAGAAAATCAAACTGAAATCGAATATAGAGAGAATAAAGCCGGCGTAACTACTCACTCCTTTTATCGAGATCCGGTTCAATTTTGGTAACTTTTGCTTGGAAGAACTAATTAAACAAACAACAATGGCAAAGTATAAACGTGTTCTATATCTCAAATTGGTTAAATAAAGATACCTAAAACAGTAATAAAATCTTCTTTCTCAGGCAACAACAATTTATCTTTCATGGAGAGAAAAAAAACAGTAATAATAATAAATAACATTTCCATATAAAAAACAGCGATATACCGAATCTAATGAATTAATTAATAAATTAATAAAGTCGTTAAATTCACAAATTAATTGTGAGCCAGCGAAGATTTTTTCTGATTGGGGAAAAACCTAAGTGAAGAAGAGAGACAAGACAACAACAACACAAAAGCAAACACAATTCTCACCGATCAAATCTCTCTCTGGGTTTTGAAAAAGTCGGAATCTTTCTTGAGTTTGGTTAATGCCTGGGAACCACAGTGAGATTTCGTTAAATGAACAAAACAGAGTCGATAACGATACCAATACGAAGACGACAAGGAAGAAGAAGAAGAAGAAAGATGTAACAATCGTTGATGATGATGATAATCAATTGGATAGCACCAATCAATTGGTAACGAAGAGTAAGAATCGATTTATAGCCAAGTTTCGAAAGAAACCCAAATCGCCAAAAGGGTCGCGTAAAGGTGGATGCTTTCGTGTGATGATGCGACCTCGAAGGAGAGAGAGGGATGGTGATGATGATGATGATGCTGATTCGGTTTTGTCTCCAGTTTCTGATCCTAATGATGAAAGGTTTAGTCATGAGATGATGAGAGTTATGTTAGAGACTAATGATTTCTGCTCTGATGAGTGTAATCCACATCGGTGAATATTTGTAAGTTTGATTTATTGGGATTGGGATTGGGGTTGTTGGTTGATTCTTATTATTTATAGATTTTTTGGTTTTGGTTTTTGTTTTTGGATCAATTTGTATAGAATCTCTCTTCTGGATTAAATTCATCAAATTGCATATGAGTGTTTTTTCTTATGTTTTAGTCCAATTGTGATTCTTTATGCAGAGCCTTTGTGTTTGATTCTGATTCGTATAGCAGAGTTGTTATTGGTAGTTTTCATTGAATTGAGCTTGCTTCTTTAGCTTTCTAGGAAGTCTAACACATATAGATTTGGATTGTTTTCAGTTCATAATAGTAAATGTGGATGATTGTTGTCTATGTCTACTGTGGTAAAGGAAAGATGATAATGCAGTGAGTTTATTTGAAGAATTTTAGGTGCTCAAGCCTAAGTCTATAGGTCTACTATAACTATTGTAAGACTGAGTATGGCCTGTTGTGACTTGGTTAGAAAGCAGTTCGTGATGAGTTGGTTTATAAGATGCCTTGGGAGATTGTTTACGACGTGTGGTCTGTGTAGGGTTTGGTTTGTGGATTTGGTGAGAGTTGAGAGCCTTAATGAAGGAAGTCTTTCTGGTTTTGTGAACTGAAGAAGAAAGCTTAAGTTCTTAGCATATTAGTTCAAAGCAGAGGGACTGGAAGAAACAATTAAGAATTGGATTTCAGTGATATTGCTGAATGAGTATCGATACTGCCGATTCTTAGGTCTACTGGAGCGACTTTTTTCTTTAGTAAAAACTACATGGCTGGATCAGGTGTTAGAGGCATTAACTTAGTTTTCTATAGTGGAAGCTCGTACACTTACTTCAATGCCGAAGCATACCAAGAGATTCTCGATCTTGTAAGAAACAATTTCTTCTCTGAAAAAATGGAAGATTTAGTATCACCTGTTGTGTTTTACTACATTTTCATGACTAATTTGGTGTCCACATATCTCTTATAGATAAGAAAAGACTTGAATGGGAATCCTTTGATGGACACAAAAGAAGATAAAAGCTTACCTGTCTGTGGAAAGACAAAAAACCTTTGAAATCACTTAATTAATGAGGTCAAGAAATACTTCAAGACGATTACTTTACGATTTGGGAGTAAATGGGGCAGAGTTTTTCTGTTTTGTAATACTCCAGTAGGCCTGAACGGAACTGAGTATCGATACTGCCGATTTCTTAGGTCTACAGGAGCAGAGTTTTAACTGTTTTGATTGTTTCTTATATATGAGTCTATGGCACACTGAGTTCAACTATATGTAATGCCTCTTACCTTTTCTGAATTGCCTCTGCCTTGGAGTTCTATGAAGAGCAATGCTCATCCTCCACGAAGTAAAATCGTTAACTGGTCGTGTTTACTTACTGCAGAGATACTGATACAGAAACTAGTCATAACTACGGATATAGTCCAGTCACCATACTCTTATAGACATTCAAGCCTTATCGATGAACCTGCGTGATGCGCGTTTGTTATATACCCTTACTAGTTGTGAATTTTGCAAATGATATATAGATTCAAGCATTATTCTGCTCGTATACTTGGAATGATCTATAATGATTTGTATAGCTTGAATGTGAATGCATTTGAAGTTTTGAATACACCAAAGAATACCAAATTTATCTACTTTATTACTTCAATCCAAGTTGAGTTAAAAAAAAATTGATACTTTATGGACTAAACATAGGAAAAGTTTATAACTTGGAGCCGCCCACAGCTAAAATCTAAAACCGGATTCTGGTTATGTCTGGTTATTTAAACCAATCGTTTTTCGATTTTGTTTTACCTCAAAAACCCTTTCAAGCTCAAGCGCCGGCGTTCTCTAGCCAAACTCGATTTCGTTTCTCTGTTGAGATTGATCTTTGAGATTTACTAGATCCAAAGATGGATGGGATAAAGCTCTCGTTCCCACCGGAAAGTCCACCACTTTCAGTCATCGTTGCTCTTTCTCTCTCAGCTTCTCCGGTCACTATTGATTCCTCCGCCTCTGTAACCACCGTCCCTTCTTTTGTCTTCTCCGACGGGTACTTTCCCTTTTCTCTGTCTGATTACTTCTTTGATTTCTATGAAAGTTTAACCCTTTTTCTTGATTTAGGAGGAAATTGAGTGGAACCACCGTTCTTCTTCGCTATGTTGGTCGATCAGCGAATACGCTTCCTGATTTCTATGGCAACAATGCTTTTGATTCTTCTCAGGTCTTGGTTCTTTGTATTAACATGAAAGGATGAATCTTGTGATGTAAATTTAAAATCTTTTGACTTTGTTTCTTCTTCTTGTGGGTGATTATTAGATTGATGAGTGGGTAGATTACGCTTCTGTCTTCTCTTCTGGTTCAGAGTTTGAGAATGCTTGTGGTCGTGTTGATAAGTATCTCGAGAGTCGTACGTTTCTTGTTGGTCATTCTCTTTCCATTGCTGATGTTGCTATTTGGTCAGCTCTTGCTGGTAAGAATATTCATTATCTTTGACTCTTTGTTATGAGTTTCTCTGTATTTGAAGCTGATTAGTTGAACTTTTGGTAGGAACTGGCCAAAGATGGGAAAGTTTGAGGAAGTCGAAAAAGTATCAGAGTTTAGTTAGATGGTTCAATTCTATATTAGACGAGTACAGTGAGCTGCTTAACAAGGTTCTAGCAACATATGTGAAGAAAAGCTCAGGGAAGCCTGTTGCTGCACCTAAGTCTAAAGACAGCCAACAAGCTTTGAAAGGAGATGCTCAGGATAAAAGCAAACCTGAAGTGGACTTGCCGGAAGCAGAAATTGGAAAGGTTCGACTCCGGTTTGCTCCAGAGCCAAGTGGTTATCTTCACATTGGACATGCTAAGGCTGCGTTGCTGAACAAGTATTTCGCTGAGCGTTACCAAGGGGAAGTGATTGTGCGTTTTGATGATACTAACCCTGCTAAAGAAAGCAATGAGTTTGTGGATAATCTTGTGAAGGATATTGGGACCTTGGGGATCAAGTATGAGAGAGTGACTTACACTTCGGACTATTTTCCTGAACTGATGGAAATGGCGGAAAAACTGATGCGTGAGGGTAAGGCATATGTTGATGACACACCGAGGGAGCAGATGCAGAAAGAGAGGATGGATGGGATTGATTCGAAATGTAGGAATCATAGCGTCGAGGAGAATTTGAAGCTATGGAAGGAAATGATTGCGGGAAGTGAGAGAGGATTACAGTGCTGCGTTCGTGGGAAATTCAACATGCAAGATCCCAACAAAGCCATGCGCGACCCGGTTTATTATCGATGCAACCCTATGTCTCACCACCGTATTGGGGATAAGTATAAGATATATCCAACATATGACTTTGCTTGCCCGTTTGTCGATTCCCTTGAAGGGATAACGCATGCCCTTCGGTCTAGTGAGTATCATGACCGGAATGCTCAGTACTTTAAAGTTCTGGAGGACATGGGATTACGACAGGTTCAGCTTTACGAATTCAGCCGGTTAAATCTGGTTTTTACACTTCTCAGTAAGCGCAAGCTTCTCTGGTTTGTCCAGACTGGATTGGTTGACGGGTGGGATGATCCACGCTTCCCGACAGTCCAAGGAATTGTTCGTAGAGGTTTGAAAATCGAGGCTCTGATTCAGTTCATTCTTGAGCAGGTAAGCCTTTCTTTTTCGTTGTTGCTTGTATCTTACGAATGATCTGTACTAATAATTCTGTTCATTTCTTTCTTTTACAGGGGGCTTCGAAGAATCTAAATTTGATGGAATGGGACAAACTTTGGTCTATTAATAAGAGAATAATTGATCCTGTGTGCCCTAGACACACGGCTGTGATTGCAGAGCGTCGTGTACTATTTACCTTAACAGATGGTCCTGATGAGCCGTTTGTTCGCCTGATACCAAAGCACAAGAAATTCGAAGGTGCTGGAGAAAAGGCGACCACTTTCACCAAGAGCATTTGGATTGAGGAAGCTGATGCGAGTGCAATATCCGTTGGTGAGGAAGTAACTTTGATGGATTGGGGAAATGCCATAGTTAAGGAAATCACAAAGGACAAGGAGGGTCGTGTCACTGCATTATCTGGCGTTCTGAATCTCCAAGGTTCTGTAAAGACTACAAAGCTAAAGCTCACATGGCTTCCCGATACCAATGAATTGGTCAATCTCACATTAACTGAGTTTGATTATTTAATCACCAAGAAGAAGGTACAAATCGGTTGATACAGTTATCTCTACACAATATTGTTATCTCTCAAAATGGCTGCTTTGTTTTTTGCTGTAATACAGCTCGAAGATGATGATGAAGTTGCTGATTTTGTGAATCCTAACACAAAGAAGGAAACTTTGGCACTTGGTGATTCTAATATGAGGAATCTGAAATGTGGAGATGTGATTCAGCTTGAGAGGAAAGGCTATTTCAGATGTGATGTTCCATTTGTCAAATCTTCAAAGCCCATCGTCTTATTCTCGATTCCAGATGGAAGAGCGGCTAAGTGATGAATGAACTATTTTTGTGTTTCCCATTTTATGAAAATTGTGTTGAGAATTTGCTACTTAGGTTTAAGACAATGAAAAACAGAGCTCTTTTATCAGTTCTGTGCTTAATTTTTCATCTCATAATAGTTTAAAGTTGCAAACTTTATCTTGATTCATTCTTCTTTGCTTAGTGTTTACAATAGAGACAAAAACAAACTCATTTCTTGGGTGTGTATCTCAATTTGATCTTCTTAACCTGTTTGGGTTTGAGCTGGAATGATTTGACGAGAATGTTGTCAGGAAGAGCTCCAAAGAGAGAGGCCACAAGTGATTGTGTTCCAGGCAGTTGGCTATCGAAGGCTGCGAGTACAGATGCTGGAGAGTTGGCAATGTTCTTCTGGAAATGGAGGAGTCCCTTGGGGAAGGCGAAAACGTCTCCCTTGTTAAGGTATTTGGCGATGAGTTTTCCGCCGGTTGTTACAAAGCCGACGTAGAGCTGACCTTCAAGGACGAAAATGATCTCGGAGGCGCGTGGATGGATATGAGGTGGGTTTAGGCCATTTGGGGCGTAGTCGATGCGGGACATGGAGAGGCCGAGAGTGTTGAGTCCTGGTAGCTTTTCTACGTTGGCTCCGGTCACGACTGAGCCGGTGGAGGTGTTTGTGGCGGCGATGGTGGCTAAGCCTTTGAAGTAGAAGTCTTCCGGTGTTATTTGTGTTGAGTCCTTGCAAGTGTATCCGTTGACCTTGACCGCTTCATTTTTCAGAAATCAAAAGAGAACCAAAAAAAACATATTTAGATAAATTTTGACTTTGCCCAAAAAAAAAAAAACAAAAGATAAATTTTGACAAGAACAAAAAAGACAAAAAAAAAAAAGTTTATTTAACTCCAAAAATTTATGTATATTTGGTATGATACTATTGAAAAAAAAGAATGTTTGAAGATTTCTTTCAATCCTATGTTTCCACCTACTTTTTAATTTAGCATTTTGATTAATACTAGTATATCATTTTATAAATCCTCATAAATTTCCAGGAAACTCTTGAATAATATAATACTAAATTCGAAATGAGAGAAATAAAGTATAATACAATACTAAATTCGAAATGAGAGAAATAAAGTATAATACAAATGAGAAAACTTCGCTTCATAATATCACAATTGGTGTCAAATTTCTTAATGATATAATTTTCAACTATGAAGATAGGGAAATAATGAAAATGTTTATAAGAAAAGCTTTAGTCGTTTTTTTCCAACGAAGAATAAACAAAGAAATCAAAGCATGTCACGGGTACGTAAAATTGATTCAAACAAAAGGTGTTATTGAGGTCAATACCATTAGACAAATCAGCAACACAAACATCTTGAAGCATCTCCGCGGCGGCCACGGCTGCGACCATCATGGTAACAACAACAACAAGATGGGTTGCAAAAGACGCCATTATTGTTGTTGTTGTTAATTTTTCAGAAAAGAGTTTGTTTTTGATGAATTTATAATTACGAATAAATTCACAATAGAAATGCCTTGAATTTGGTATTCTTATAAACATTGAGGATGCGTTAAAAGGATATTATTAGGCCAATTTGTGAGAGGTGGGTTTTGATTCTTAATTTAGCCAAAATTAGGTTTTTAATTTTCAATTTTTGTGATTAAGAGGGGGGTTGTTTATTGGAGAATTGAGACATCTCATCAAATCTATTTGGCTTTAGTTAGTACCGTACGAGGAAACTCACCTAAATTAAACTTATCTTTCCTGGAAATTATTAAATTTTTAAGAACCAAACTCTAAAAAATTACTTGTGTGGATTAATAAATAGAAAGTAGAAGTTGGCTGGTAATTTCGTTATAACTCAGCTACTTTTGTTTTGTTTTTGGTCAAACGACTCAAACCAAATCCAAACTGATCATTTATTTTATCTAGGGCTGGGATAAATAAGCGAACCGAGATTTCTGGTTTTTGGGCCGGTTTTGGTTCTCTTGGCTGAGCCGAAGGACGGGTATTATTAATATTTTTTGAATGGATTATACCAAAATTAGACCCGTTTTTACCAATACCTTAACCTAAAAATCAAATTTAGCCAAAATTAACCGAGAACCGAATCTAACCAATAACCGAACTAGCCGAACCGAAAAACCTAAGTCGTAGGCCGAACGGGGGAGATTTGTTGATTTAAGGTCTAGTTTCTGGAAGGTTTTAATTTTACATCGGTATCTGACTGATAAAGGCCGACAGAGATTGTTCGCTAAAATGTCACTGTCATTATCAAGTACACAGCATATTAATATGTTAAATAGAGGAACAAGTGAACAAAATGGTTAGACTTATGGCTAAACAAATTCCCTCATGGATAAAAGTCCTAAGTTCAACTTGAGTCCATATTAGATTTATAATATCAACTACGTAAAACCCTAATTTAATATTTTCTATTTAAATATATTGATATATGTGTATACAAAATGAATAGATTTAAGTAAATATAACTAGAGTAAGTTCGTTGACGCAACAGTTTGGGAGAAAGACTTAATCGAAGTCAAGTCGCTTATATTTTTAATCTCAAACTGTTTACAAAGACGATTCTTATATTAAAGGAAGATGTTGAGAAATGAAGATCAATCATCAATCTCTCTATTTATATGTTTCTAATTTCTTCTACTCTATTCATATCAATATTCCATAATCCTTATTAATCTCTCCATCATGACGACTAAGGTAAAAAACATGCTCATACTAACTTATACGGAAATGAATCCGAGTTTTTTTTTCCCTTTTCTTGAATCATTCGCGGTTTTGTGCAGAAAATCGAGATCAAAGTGAATATCGATTGTGAGAAATGCAAACATGCAATCATGGAGGCTGTTACAGAGCTAGAAGGTATGGTTTCAATTATAAAAAAAAAGCGTGTTAAGAATTCTGCGGATATATGAGAGATGCGATTAAAAGATGAGAGATTTGAAATGCAGGTGTGAATATAGTTTCACTGGATCAAGAGAAGGGTATACTAACCGTGGTGGGTACTATGGATCCGGTCTGCGTAGCGGAACAGCTTAGGAAGGTTAAACAGAAACCAGTAGTAATCAGCGTCGGACCACCAAAAAAACCAGACCCAAAAAAACCAGACCCCAAGAAGGACCCTTGTTTCCCTTACTACTATTACACCCCCCGTGACATGATATCAGTCAATACCTATGAGAGCGGAAGCGGCTGCACCATCGTTTGAATCCTGTCTCTCTTCTCTTTGTCTCCATGTAAAATCCTGCAATCTTTAGTCGATAATTTTTTTTTTTTGTGATCCTGTTATATCATACTATGTGATGAATCTTTGTTAGTGGCTCCTCTTGAACCAAGTAATATCATTAGATAATACATCATTTAACCTGGAGTCTTTCTTTTACATCACATCGAGTTCTACAATTAGCGCATGAAAACAAAAGCACAAGCATTTTCCTTGTCAAAAGACAATTCATGATCATACCTTCACAAAAACGCTAACAATGCAAACGAAGTCCAGACCTGACTAAATATACTACCATCGAGAAAGCAAAGACTAACCACCGTTACAGAGACATGGTAAAACAAAAGGCAAACATACTACTTAGACCTAGGAAAAAGCATCACAGTTTATTGATCTTCTTATGAGATCTTTGCAGCAGAACTGTGATTTACTTCTTCTTCCTTCCACCAGCTCCTTTGGTTTTCTTGTTTGCTGCTCCTTTAGTGGTACTCTCTGGGATTTCCTAGTAGCAAGTAAAAAACAGTTCATAAACACCAAATTATCGATGTATATCCAGAAACATGTGAAACACAAAGTAAAGTGTTATATTGATCCCAGGAATCTTAAGAACGGAGGCACTTAGTCTATGTAAAATAGTTTCCTGCTCACAGCTGTATGATTAACATATAGCTAGATAGAACTACAGAAATTATGGCAGATTAATTTTAAATGTTCACCGGATATTTAGATTCTTGTGCCTATGCCAGCTCCAGCCATTTGAACCGAAAGGTTGAAACCCCAGGATAGAGAAAACAGCCTAATGCTAACAATGTTTTTGGAGGAGTTCCATCCAAAAGCATGCAGAGAGGAGACTTTATTGCTGATAGCTGGTTTATACTGCCGGAGCAAGCATTTGGTACCCTGTGATCCAGTATATTGAGGAATCACCTCAGAGACAACTAGGCATATAAGGTTTCCCTAAAGTGTGTAAAGTGTACATATATTTCCATTCATTTGTGGACATGTGTTAAGAGTTTGTGGCAGGCTATGGACAGTGAATTGATAATAACAAGATGTAGGCGGAAAGCATGAAGAGGATCGATGTTTTAAGTACCACGAATCGGGAGTTGTTTTACAATATATTTGGAAAGCCTTAGAGATACCAATTAATTTACTAATCAGTGTTTCTTTTGCACTTGAAGAATTATATGACGTACACATTCATGTACAAGTGAAAAGAAAGGAGCTTAAGAACTAACGGGTTCAACCATATATAAGATTGAAAGAGACAAACCTTTCTCTTAGCAGGCACGGATGAGTTAGCAACTGGCTTGAAAAATGATTCCAGCCTGTAATATGTTTAAGAAAGAAATGAATAGAAGGAGAAATAAACGCTAATAATCACTACTATATTGTTCGAAAGGTGCAAACCTGCCCTGGGATGATTTGTTCTTCGCAGTTTTAATTTTCTCTATCGCCTATACAAGAATTTCAGATCATCCACGATATTCTCAGAATAAAGCATTGCACCAATATGGAACAAAGTATGATAACACTACATGAAGCATACCTTGGTTACCCTGTCTATGTTGAATCCATTTTCATTCACCAAAAACTGAACTATACCCTGGGGAGAAAAAAAGAAGTAACAAAGAAAATTCCCCGAAGAATCCAAAATATGGGTGGAGCAGAAAAGGGGAGAACTAGGTTTCTACCTCTTCATCTGGAGAGGTCCACTTAATATCAAGCTGCTCCTCATCTGTTATGACATCAGGTTCTTTAAAAAGTTTTCGAGCTTCGTTATATGGCCATTCCTCGGGTATTTGATACCTACACAAAATACCAAACTGTAAACATCTTTATCGCACTATGGCTATTGTTTCTTGTAACAACAGATGTTGAAAGATAGAACTCAACACAGGTGACAGGATGGATTAATTTAGATTTGACTACATATTGACAGATAACTGCTTCTCTTAGATATGTGGCTAAGGTACTGCATCGCGCTGAGAAATTTTTTCAGCAAACGGCACATGCAATGTACAGCCAGCTAGACAAATTCACAAGTTATAACCTTCACTCATATTGGTTGGTCTGAACTTTTATATCATAAAATCAGTATATAGGCCCCAAATCGAATTAGTCTAAGATAATACAACAGAATTAAACCTTTCTTTGTTTAGATTTTCGAGTATAGTCTCAATAGATCCATGCTGGCGAATGAGCTTTAGCGCAGTCTGCCCTCCGATACCTGTGGCACAAAATACATATTAGTTTCTAACCTGTTCTCCATTCCAACACAATGTTGATCTATATCGCCCACAGTTGAGAGGGATAAAACAAAAAAGGTCTCTTGATACCTCGGATACTGTCACAATAGTCACATCCAGACAATATGCACAAGTCAATGAACTGATCCATGGTAAGTTGAAGCTCTTCTAAAATCTGAAACAAGACCACAAGATAAGAGATGATCTCATTTACTTAACACGTAGAAGAAAGAATAGTGAGTGTGAGAGAGAAACCTTAGCAACTTCAAATTCCATGACAGGAATCTTTCTGGAGCTAGGATCCATCAGGTGGCGAAGAAACTTAGGAGCTCCAAAAGTCAAGGAATCCATATCTTCAGAAGCCACACCATAAACCTAAACAGACAAAAGCTTTTCATAAGGAAGCATTGCATACCGTGTAAACTTCCACTTACACAAGATTGAAGACAGTGGTCACTCGAGAGTCTAGACTGTCAGTAAACACCAAAAAGAGAACAAACAAAAGAATTCAGACCTTTCCTGACTTGCAAAGTGCAGCACATTGCGCTTCAGCCTCGGAAGTGGCCTGTATGTAAGAAGCCACATCAGTCTTCTTTTCAAGAATTTAGCCATTTCATATGATTACCAAAAAGACAAGTTAATAGAAGAGATTTAGACCCTCGGGCCTCTGCACATAACATAAGTACCTCAACAACAGGCACCCCCATGAGTCTCAAGAGTCTTTTGCAGTCGTCATTGTGCTGTTTTGTCACCTGGAGAGTGGGAGATTATGCATGTATAATAAGAGTCCTAGATTCAATTGCTTTAAAGTGGATGACATAAAAACTAAGGAGTCCAATGATTCATAGATTGAAACGAATAGATTACTTTCACAGTTCTTTTGCTGTACTTCTCAATGTCCTCCTTGTTTCCTGCCTATCAGCATGAAATAGTTTGAAGAATTACGCTCTTTCACTAGTAAAATAAAGCTAGGTAAGCAACTCGTAAGGCAAGTAAGAGTGACAAACCTCAATTGCACCAGTCAAATCTGCAGTTGCATCGGCTCTCTTGGAGTAACTGAATCAAGAGTAGAATTGGATAAAACCATAGTGAACAACAGTTCAGAAACTCATCTTAGCATCTTCAAGCTAAAACTCAATTTAAGCAGCACTCCGGATAATAAAAATCTACCGTTTTGCCAGTTCTTGTCTCTTTAACTCCGGCGGCTTTCCATCGAAAACATAGCTGCACCAAAAGATTCAAAACCAATTTAGCAAAACTAATAGTAAAAGGCAAACCTTTTCCACCAACAGAGGAAGTACCAAAAAAAATGTAGTAAGAGGGCATTACACAGGCTTAATTCCAGCTTCAAGAAGACGAATCGTTCGATTAAACATCCCTTGTAAATGACTACATATACCCAAAAAAAAACACAAAGACATAACAACATCAAACCAAAAGATCCAAACTTTTACAAATGTGGAAACAAAGAGAGAGTAGTAATAGTAACCTAGTGACTTCACCAGCTTCATTAGTGAGCATTTCAGTCCCAGTTCTTCCCACAACAATCTGAATCACAATTACAAAAATTACAACTCTCGCTGAGTGATTAAGTGTGCAATGAGATTGATACAAAAGGGGAAGAAGAGAACGAACAAGGAATTGGTAAATGCTCATGCTAGCATCAACAGCGATTTTCCGACCAAAATAGCTCTCGAATTTCTGTTCTTTCATACAACTTGGCGCATTGTCGGCTAAAAGCTTCGTTAAACCCTAAAAATCCGACCAAAAAAAACACAAGCATTAGATCGAATTCAGGAATCGTTATCTAAAATTGAAACGAGAGGTTAATGTTTAATCCATCAGACCTTAATACCCATGGTGGTTACAGAGAAAGCAGCGAATGCGAAGGTTTCTCTCAGGGGACTTTGGTCTCTCTGACGCCGGTGGTGATGTTGTTTTCCCGCCTCCTCAACACGTGTGGGCGCTAGATTCTTGTCAACTTTATGAGGCCTTTAAACCTCATGAGCCCATCAGGTGGTTAAGGGCCCATCATATGGTTTAGGCCCATGGGTTATATTCCTCGCTAGTATGAGTATCCGTCATGGTCCATAGATGTTTTTTTTTTTTTTTTTTTTTTTTGTTAGTCCATATATATGCTTTGAGTTTCGTTATATATGTAAGGGTGCATGCACTCTTCTTTTGGCATTTTTTTCCTACCAATACAGTATTGTCGTTTTTGCTGTAGACAAATCCATTTTAATATCCGATTTTGGATCTCTGAAGCCTTAAAAAAATAAAATAAGGGAGGTTTGTTCTTGGTTTCCTCACGGTGTGGGATGGTTCATTAGTTAAATAAGGAAATAAAATCATGTACATATATCTAGCAAACGAAACTGTACTTAAGTTGCCAAATTATAACTATAAATAAGGGAGGTTTCATTATTCGTGCATGGGAATCGATCGTATGGGTCAAGGAGTACAAACCAAAGAACGTAATGGTGGTGAATGGTGGTACGTGGGCTTTTTATTTTATGTGAACACATTATTGATGATCTTTGTGTATAAGAAACGGTGGTGGTACGTGATCATTTAAATATAGTTACGCTAAACAACTCTCACCGACAGGATTTTATGGAGAATTACGTACATATATTCATTACGCATCACGGAAAAATCCAAGGCAATTCATGACGATACGTCCTTAGTTAACACCTTCACGTTTCTCCAAGTTACAATTAATTCAAAAAACTTTTTAACTTTATCTTTATGCAACATCCTAATAACGTTCCTAAAAAAATGCAAAACCCTACTCTCTTTACACCACAAGAACTCATCGTAAACAAACAAACATCTATATCTAGAAATTTTCTTTTTGGATATCATCTTCGTACGTTTTCCTTTTTTTAGCATGACATGTATTAATTCAATATATATATATATATATATATAATATAGATTTATTTTAACAAAATGACGATATAACAAAAACGGTTACAAAGACAAATACTTCGCTTGTATCACTTTAAGTTATGTTTTAGGATTTTTTATTTATTTCAACTTAAATGATGTTTTCAAGTTTTTATGAAAACATTTAAATTTGTTGATATTTTGACAATTTATATTCAGCATTATGTTTTCCTATTTGGTTGAATTAATTTTAGTTAATAATGTTTTATATAAGAAAAAGTTAAATTTCATGAAATTTATGTAATTTAATGTGATACTCATACGGAGGCATCGAGCATAAAAAGAAGAATGTTAGAATAGATAAAAGAAACTACATTGTTTAAATTTTAAAACTTTCACTTAAAAGATATAGCCGGAAAACGCAAAAAAAAAACTAGAGAACAATTTTTCTTGTTTATTTGCAAATTTACCATGTGACAGTGACAGACGAAAGAAAATACAAACTGAATGCATGTTTTTGATTATAAGATATTTGGAAAATTATTAGTTTTACAAACTTCAAAAGTAGGAATCAGTGATTGAATTATGTGTAAAATGTTTCTTTAGCAACAAAAAAAAAAAAATGTGTAAAATGTTTAAAATCCCGTGACTGGGGGCACATACGCAAATAAATGGAAACAAAGGTCCTTGTTACAAAAGAAAAAAATACAGAGTTCAGTGGACGATAGCACCGTACCGTTTCGGTAGTGAATTTAATTTGTTTTGTCGGAGCGTAACATGTGCATCGGATTTACAAATAGCCCCCACCACTTTCTTCCTTCTTCTCTCCTATCCATTAGTTTCAAACCGATAAATTGTGACATTTTCTTGGTTAGTCAAAGAGTTTATTATTTTCGGCAAGGAAACGAGAGAATAACCTTCTTCTTTTTCTACAATTACTAAATTTGAAAAGAATGATTAAAATTAAGAGATCTATATTCATGTGCAGGATCTATTGGTGCAGAAAATAAATTGAATTTTAATAGTTTGGATTTTTATTTGTCACTCTTTGACAAAATAGTGTTTGTATATTAATTGATATCCTTGATTACTTCAGACTCAATCAATAGAATGATAGTATTAGTATGTGTTGAAAACATGAAATATCTTAAAAGAATGTTTTAAATCCAAATTACATGATTACCACTTCCGTAATTATCGCTCATGATTTTATTTTGCTTCCTGGAAATCATTAGATAGATTGGTACGTGTAGGGAATAAAAAATCATAGATAAATAATACAATTCAATATATCAATTGAGTAAATAATACTTTCCAATGCGTGATTTAGAAAATACCAAAAAGACAAATAATGAAAGAAAAAAAATATAAAGATAGAATCATAATTTGTATTTATGGTTACCTCTTTTGTATGTTGATGTGTGTTTCAAGTATGAACCAAAATCTAGTAAAAAAAAAAGATGGTCTCTCATTGTCTTATGAGAGTTAAATTAATTATGATTAGTTTTCTTAAATCAAAGATTAGTATAATTATAACTTTATAGTATAATTAATTAATCAAGAAAATCGAGATTCTAAACGTGAATCCAGCCATGAAAACTCTTTTTTAAAACAGTCTTCTTCACTCACTGCACTTCTCTGCTCTGTCTCTTTCTTCTTCTTCTTCTTCTTCTTCTTTCTCATTAAAAGCTGAACACAAAGATCAATTCTTTCACTAACACATTGCCAGTTTCTGCATTTGTTTTATATCCTTTTTTCTAAAGTCTGTTCCTTTTTTTCTACTTTTAACCATTCTTTCTCCATTCCCAGTTCTTAGAAGCAATGAGGAAGCTTTTCTTGTTAGGGTTTGTAGTTGCAGGAATGATTCTGGTGACTGAAGCAAAAGGGTATTTTGAGTTCAATGTCACTGAGTTAGATCACATTGAAGAATTAGAGTTTGGTTTCTCCAAATTTAGTTCCAATTTCAATCCATTAATGGTTGGTCTCACACTTATCAGAGGAGCTGGTTCCAAAGGAGCTGGTACTGTCTTTCTCTATCTCTCTCTGCTTTTTACTTCAACAAAAAATGATTTTTGTTTGTTTGTTTATCATATATTAGTGCCACACTATCACTCATGTGTTGCTTTCTGATTTTGGAACGTGAGGTACATTGTGTTATGTGCATCTGAAATGTGAATTTTATGTCACTGGAAAAAAATGTAAAAACAGAACAGTGTTTGAATCTAAGATCTGTGTGTCTTAATTACAGTTTGTTTGGATGGAACATTGCCTGGATATCACTTACATCGTGGACATGGATCTGGAGACAATAGCTGGCTCATTCAATTAGAGGTTAGCAAAAGAATATAAATGAAGTTTCTGTTTTTAATATTGTTTTGTTACTGAAAATTTGAATGTGTGTTGAAATTGGGAATGTGGAAAGGGAGGAGGATGGTGTGACAACATAAGGAACTGTGTATACCGAAAGAAGTCGCGTCGTGGTTCCTCTAACTATATGGAGAAACAGATACAGTTTACAGGAATACTTAGTAATAAAGTTCAAGAAAATCCAGGTCTTTTTCTTTAGGCTTTTTTTAGTAATGATCTTGAAGAAACAATAGCTCATTCATTTACATTTGCAGATTTTTTTAACTGGAATAGAGTTAAGCTTCGTTATTGCGATGGTGGTTCCTTCAGTGGAGATAGTCAGAACAAGGTTCTCATTGATACCGATGAATCTAGAGATCATACATTTCACTTTCTTGATTCTATGCTTTCTCTGTTTTGGGGTTTGAGTTGTTGTTTCTTTTCATTCTCTTAAACATGTAATGTTTCAGGCTGCAGGGCTTCAGTTTAGAGGAGAGAAGATATGGAGAGCCGCAATGGACGATTTGAAAGCAAAGGGAATGCGAAATGCGAAACAGGTGTTTTATCTTTGTCCTTCTCTTGCTAATAGTCTTTTCTATACATTGATGAAACAGTTTTTTAAATTTGTTTAATACTCTTTCAGGCACTTCTATCTGGATGCTCTGCAGGCGGGCTAGCAGTGATTTTACGCTGTGACGAATTCAGAAACTTGTTTTCAGGAAATACCAGAGTCAAATGCTTAAGTGATGCAGGCTTGTTCTTGGACACGTAAGTTAGTTCATATGAATCTTTCCTCTTTTTTTTTTTTATTGCTAAAAATCAGTTGATTATCTGTTACTAAATCGCTTGTTTTCTGTGATTAAAGGCCCGATGTATCCGGTGGCCACACGATAAGGAACCTATATAACGGCGTTGTGCAGTTGCAGGTGTGATATTGTTTACCAATCTTCATATTATAAACTTTATAAATTAAAAAAATTTTAATTTAACATTTTGATGTTATGGTAATGAATCAGGGAGTGAAGAACAATTTGCCACATTTATGCACTAACCATCTCAATCCAACCTCTGTAAGCTCTTCTTCTTTTAGTCTAATCGATTCTTTTTTGTATATATTATCGCAAAAGCGAACCCGTAAACTCTGTATGTTTCAATTGGGGACAGTGTTTCTTCCCTCAAAACTTGATCAGTCAGATGAAAACTCCTCTTTTTATTGTCAATGCAGCTTATGATATTTGGCAGGTATAACTTTCTTCTCTAGAAATTAACTCCATGCATGTTTTATGCTAATAGAGATTGTTAAAAGTAACCATTTTGGTTTGTTTTAACAGATTCAAAGTAGTATCGCTCCGCCAAGTGCAGATCCTAGTGGTTATTGGCATGAATGCAGATTAAACCATGGAAGATGCACCCCAGCACAGATCCGGTTCTTGCAAGGTCGAAAGAACCTGAAAAATTCCAAATGTTTAGAAGTTATCATTTTCAAAATGACTCAACCTCATTATTATCTTATGATGTTGTCCTATCTAACAGGGTTTAGAAATCAAATGTTGAGAGCTGTGAGGGGTTTTTCGAATTTGAAAAAGAACGGTTTGTTTATCAATTCTTGTTTTGCTCATTGCCAAACCGAAAGACAAGACACTTGGTTCGCCGATGATTCTCCTGTTATCCACAAAATGGTAACCACTTCATCTTCACAACAATTTATGTGTTTACATTTACCAACAATAGAGGCATAAGTAGAATTTTGAAATAATCAATTTCTTAACGTTTTAAAATTGCGATTTAGGCTGTTGCGATAGCGGTTGGAGATTGGTATTTTGATAGAGCTGAAGTGAAGCTAATAGATTGTCCATATCCGTGTGATAGGAGTTGCCACAATCTGGTCTTCAGATGAATGATCTCATTTATTTTTTCCTATACGAAGTAGAAGTGAACAAAAAGTTTCAATTCTTTTATGTATCAGTGATCTTGTTGTATTGTATCCTTTTGTACGTACCAATCTTCATTGGAAAATAGTTTTCCTAAAGAGATTGGATATAATGAAGAAAGGCTTTTGTTTTTCTTCAACAATTGTGTTTGTAACAAATTTCATAACTAATATTTTTGGGTCGATATAAAAGTGTATGGAAAAAAAAACTTTGAAATTTTTTTTGTAACCTCATTGACATTGGTTTAAACAATACAATCCTTTGGTGTCTGATCATCAAAATGGCATGATCATAAAATTATTGGATAATGAATTGTTGTGTCTCCTCACATGTTAGAATATGTATATTTCCATTTTTATCCTTTGATGTAATCCCTAGTACTCTTTGTAACTCTATATATCGTATGGAATATTTTGTAAAAATATAAAAAAGTGTATGGAATAAAACACATTGAAAAATATTTTGTAAACCCATTGACATTGTTTGAACTTTCCAGGCAAGTCCGAAAATGCTTCTTAAAAAAAAAGGTTAGTCCCATATAGGAATTTATAATCTAGTGATTTGTACTAATGTTGTCCTCGTATTATTACCAGATACAACTCCGAAGAAAGAATGGTCCAAATCAATCAAACAATTTAAGAGTTAATAACCTCAACAAATAAAAGTTCTAATTGGTAAAATTTAAAATTGTGGAAATCTAGTGGGATAAGAGAAACTTATTTTTTTTTTCTTTTCAATATTATCATTAAATTCTAACTGGGGTTTGGCTTTTGGACCTTCACCAAAAACACGGTTACAAAACCAAGAGATTATGCCGGTTACAACACCGAAAATAAGTTGGAAATTACTTAAACAATACAATCCTTTGGTTTTTGATCATCAAAATGGCATGATCATAAAATGACATTGCACAAAAAAAATTTAAGTGGTTCCCGTTTAATTTTTAAATCATAAAATAAATTGTATACCAATTAAATAGTTTTGATGTTATTTTTATTTTCATAGAATACAATAAAATTGTCTTTATACACTATGTTTAAATATATATTCCCTCCGTTTTAAAATATAAGGCGTTTTAGCTAAAAGCACGCTGATTAAGAAGATATACTTTTTAAAAGTTCAGCCAATCATAAAAGAGACTGCATAATAAAAATAATCATAAAATATTAAAATAATATATAACTTACATAGAAACTTGAAAACGACTTATATTTTGAAACAAAAAAGTTTCTCCAAAACACCTTATATTTTGAAACGGAGGGAGTATTATTTTAATTAGTATTAATTAAGGTAAATACAATTTAGATTGATTTCAGTTACAATTTCTTTCAATATCACCAAACAAAACTAGGTCTAGTCCAAGTGAGTGGGATAAGAGTGCAGAAGCCCAAGACCCATAGATATTTTAAAAATCTCATAAATATGGTTTTTCTTTTAAAGATATCCCGAAGTTCAAGTGTACTCTAGCGACTAGGGTTCTTAAAAACATTGGACCGGTTCTAAACATAAACATAACCAATTTCTAAGAGCATCTCTAATGGAAAGTTTATGTGATAATATTTGTGGGCTAATTATGCAGAGAGTCGGCTCTCTTAAAAGAGATTTGGGAATCAGAGAGAACCGCACACGTGGCAGTTGATGATTGGTTGATTAAATTTACAAAAAAAAATCCTCTTGTGTTTTTTTTTTCTTCGGGAAGCCGTCCAACCTCCGATTCTCGCTTCGTAACCAGAAGCGACCGGAATCGTGATGGAAGCGCTCGATTCGGACTTGGAAGCGCAACATTCTTCTTCTTCTTCCCCGCCTAGTTTTTTATTGGTGAGTGAATGTGATTTCTTGCCTCTTCCAAATCATATAAATTCTCCTAAACTCATGAAGAAAAATATCGAATGCCCATGATTCATTGGATTCCTCTTTTCAAGTTGTCCTCGGTTGTTTCAGTTTTAGATCTAAATATCTAATCGAAGACTCTTCTTCTCAAGTCGTCTCCGACGAACTACCACAAGCCATATTTGGGCTTTACTTTTTTTTATTCTTTTAAACCCAATTTTGTTTAGAGATAATTGGGTGAGAGACGCTACTTTTTGGGTTATTTAAATTTTTGGTATTAGGCCATATGACTCAAGACAATGATAATAATTAGCTATCATTTTTCCCGATTTTAGCCCCATGCTCCTCTCTCATTCTCATGGCCCCACGTAGATATGTCAATTAGGGCCAAAGCCCGCGGGGTAGCCCGGTCCAGCCTTGAAAAATAGCGGGCTCAGACTTCAAAATATATGTCCAGAAAAAATCGGGCCTTTCGGGTAAAGCCCGTTCGAGCTAAAGGGTTTTTTGGGCTTAGCCCAGCCGGGCTCGGGGTAGCCCGAAAAGCCCTCTAAAAAATATTTTGACCTTTTTTGTTAATATTTTCGTTTAATTGTAAGATTTGTTGTAAAAAAATTTTTTGATAGAGTTGGAAACCCTAAACTTAGTTTTTTTGTTGTGTATTACTATAAATCGGAAAAGCAAATATTAGCTCTACTAGCTAATTTGAATTATTTTGATTTTATATTTTATCTTGTATAAGTTTAAACAATTTATTTGATTTTAACTCTTTTTTTAAAAAACTAAATTAGCGTTAGTGGTTATTTAAATTTTGATTGGCTTGTTTAGTATATATATTATTTTTAAGAGATATTAGAAATTATAAGTTTATTTTTTGTTGTCGGAAGAAAAGCCCAAAAAAGCCCGGAAAAGCCATGTAGCCTGTTAGGTCCGGGCCGGGCTTTAAAATATAGGCTCGGAATTTTTACGGACCGGGCCGGACCGGATGGGGCCCCACACACCTCTCTTATTCTCATGTTCATCTCTCTCTCAACTCTGTTCTAATTCATTCAAACTGAAAAGAAAAAAAAGTGTTGTGTTTATTATTCACACCGCCATTGTTTATTCATCGGAAAAGATAACTTTCACGATACAAATAAGAATCTAAAATATTTTTTGGATCTTCACAAATAGATCTACAAAGTATAGATGCAGATCTTATGTTCATATCTCTCTCAACTCTATTCTAACAGCGTTGTGTTTATTATTCAAACCCCAACACCAAGCACACTGTGGTGATACCTTTATCGGAAATGTTGCGTTTGCTTAAAATACCTGTGCAAACTTTTGCTAGGGACGCAGCACCGGTGGTTGATGACACATACCTCGAAGGTAACATAGCCAATGTAATATAGAGCTCTACGTTTGCAAATAATGAGTCTTATCCAATTGTGAATATCCATGTATTAACTTGAATTGCTAAAAACATGAACATGTGGAGACAGAACAAGGTTGGTCTTGCTGGATGTGGATTACGAGGGGGATGAACAGTTAATGGACCCGCAAGAAAACTTATGAACATGAAAACACGAAAGTATAGATCTATGTAGATTTGTGAATGTCCAAACCGTATCTAAGAAAATAGGTAAAGACGTAAGTGGATCTGGGAAGAAGAAAAGACCAATATAGATAGCTAGAGTTTTTTTGCAAACAATGGAGAAACAGTAGATTTATTACCAACGACAATGACTAAGAGCACAAACAAAACAAGAAATTTTGGAGTGAAAAGGAAAAAGACTGGTTGTCTCGTAAATATTGCCAACTACTGCAACTATTTTTTCAACGTTGTCTCTGAAGCCCCTCACTAATATTGGTTTCCTAATTATTATCCCAAATAACGTCTCTACACAAATTCACTCTTTTGTTTATATGGCCACATTTTTATGTGCGTTATCCTTCTTTATTAAGACATCCAAAAATATTTTATTGTTAGCAATGCAATTTTTTACTTTTGATGACTATATTTATTATTCTACATGTTATGTATTTCGTTTGGTTTAAAATTTTCTGAATTATGATACATATCCAATGTTTAGTGTAGAGTAAATCCATTCAATAAATATATATATTATATGTAGTACGCGTTTCCTCATATTTTCAAAAAACTTGTTTTCTTGTTTCCAAACGCTTATGCATATCCGCTTCTAATGCAGCTTAGTTCAGAAAATACAAGCTTCCCAAATATATATTATATGTCGTTTAGGATATAATGAAAGTGGAGAAGGCTTTAGACATGAATGAAGGTAAATAATATGACAAGTACACCCTGTTTTAGAAATCGAGATATGCATCAACAACAACAGAAAGCTCATTTGGTTGAACATATATGGCAAAAATTTGGCACGAATCAAAATTACAAGGGTTAGCTGATTTTTCAGCCCTATACAAATTGCAATCTCAGCTTTTCACCCCAAACTTTTTGCTTCTGAAAAAACCAACACAAAAAAATTTATTCTCAAAATAACTACATGTACTTTCAAATTCATCCTTAAAACTACGCCTCCAATTGAACCGGCCAATAAATCGGTACCACATAACCCGGTTTGATTTAATTCAAATTTAACCAAATTTAAACCCGATTTTGACCCGAATCTTCTTCTTCTTCTTCACCCGATTTTGACCCGATTTTTTTTTTCTTCTTCCTCTTCATTTCCAGAACGACCAATAATCCCAAAACCCATCACAATCAAATTTGCAAGTATTCTCTGAGCCTGTGAAATAAAGAAATGATAATATTAGAGTTAATGCAACATTATAAGCACGAATCAAGAATGAATTTGAAAACAATGAAACATGTCCAAAGTCAATCCTCTTCAAAATGGATCAAGTAAAAGCCTTTAAACACTACTATATGAGAAGAACGGATTCGATCTATCGCCAACAATTCAACATTTAGACATCTTTGCTTGAATGATCAAATCTAGAAAGATCAAATGTGAACCGGAAAATTTTGTTTCTTTCAATTAAAAAAAATGTTCTAATCTAATCAGTGCAAATACAACCTAATACTAATATGGATGGATTTCAAATCAATCATACAACGACGACAAAAGCCTGCAGCAATAAAAGATCCTAAATAAGAAAATCAATAGCAAAGTGTGTCAAGAGGATCTCCAAATGAAGCAACAAGCTGAATAATTCGGTACCCAATTCACAGAACCCATCAACGAAAATAAGTCTAACAAATGATCCCAAAGAATGCTAAAATTAATCATTTTATCAAAGGACAAAGAGTCACCACTCAAGAAAAAACGAAAAGAGGAAACACCCACCGTGCCTGCCGATTAATTGATCAATTAAATCTTGATAAGATGCTTATCTCGCCAGGCACAATTTGTCTCCGATCGAACTGGGAATGAATAGGAAGAAGAAGAAAAAAAATTCTGATCAAAATCGGGTGAAGAGGAAGAAGATTCGGGTCAAAATCAGGTTTAAATTTGGTTAAATTTGAATTAAATCAAACCGGGATATGTGGTTACCAGTTTATTGGCCGGTTCAATTGGAGGCGTAGTTTTAAGGATGAATCCGAAAGTACATGTAGTTACTTTGAGATTAAACTTTTTTGTGGTGATTTTTTCAGAAGCAAAAAGTTTGGGTTGGAAAGCTGAGATTGCAATTTGTATAGGGCTGAAAAATCAGTCAACCCAAATTACAATTAATCTTTATTCTGTTTTTTTTATATGCACATCTATGAAAATCATGTATGTTTAATATTGTATGAATTGTAATAATCATTAAGTTTTATAAAATAAAATTTTTAATAAATTTTTTTTTCATAAGAGAACCTCACTAGAGAACCTACCATTGGACTTTGAAAAATTTATAAAAAAAATGCAAAAGTTCTTATCTCACATTTTAAAAAAATTTATATTAAAATTTTTGAGAAAGTCTCATGGTAAGAGCTCTCTATTGAAAGAAACAAAACACGTAATCATTTTAAAAGTACTACAATGCATATATTGCTCGATTGTTTTCAACACAAATACTTGAGTTTATATAGTTAATTATCTTTTTGATTGATATCTTTCTTTTTTTTATATTTCTTAGAAGAACAACTAATTTTTTCTATTTAACATGTTTTATAAAAACATACACTCTCTTAGAAATCTTTCTACAAGTTTAAATTTTGTAGACAAATTGTGTTTGTTGTATTGTAAGTTAACCAAGAAAATTATTTATCAACTTTCACAAATAAAACTTTTAACGAATATTGCGGCCATTGTTTTTGCAAAAAATAGGGTGGGCATTTTAACCAAACTGAACCAACTGAACTTCAACCGATCCAAACTAAACTCAAGCTTAGCCTCAAACCATTCAGTTATCTTCCTTCTCAATTAACTCAAATGGATTTAAACCAAACCGAACCGATAATCCAATATGTTACTTTAATTAATTAATTAATTATATTAATAATATTGTAAATAACTAAATATATAATTCTTTTCATAGTTTATTTGAATTATTTAATTTAAACTTAAAACTTGAACATGTTGCTTAAGTTAATAATATATTTACATATTGATTTCTACTAATACTAATTTATTTTGTTATTATATGTTTTTTCAATGAAATTATTTAATTGGTTTTATATACTCCAACGTTTTTTCACTAATTTTTGTAATCTTAACTCAAAGTATGAGTGGATAATATTATAATGGATTAGCTAATAGTTTGAGTAAGTTTTTCTCTTAAATTTTTGATCTATATATGACACTGAGGGTGAGGAGTACGTAAGGTCATCAAATTTTTGAGGTTCTATAATCCCAACATTACCATCTATAAAATTGGTTTAGGACAAAAATTGTTTACGGATTGTGTGAGTTATGCATTGTTGAGTATGTTGGTTGAAAATGTATTTTAATACTAAGAGTAGTTGTTCTTTGCATGAGTAAATGATTAGATAGTTAAAAATTACATTTATCAAAATATAACATCAAATAAATCAAAATAAAAAAAAAAACCCGGAAAAAACACAGCGTAAAGCGGGTGATCAACTAGAAATAAGAACAATCAAAATAATTTGTTTTTAACAATTTTTAAAACAAACCCACGCATAACGTGGGTATTCATCTAGTGTTATAAATTTTACAACATTCATGAAATATTGATATACAACCTCGAGTTTTGAATATTAAGTCCCCATGACTGGTTAATAATGCAACTTTAGAATATTGTCTTGACACCGCCATCATCGTTGTCTTTATCACTAAACTCGTTTTTCTTGTTTACGTTATCGCTATCTCTATATTAAACGACAACGATCCTTTTGAAAAATCTCATACAAAAAAAAATCCTTTCATACATATTTTATATGTACATGCTCTTTACATTTATAGACAAGTTGAGAAATTTTAAAACAACAATGGTCGAATAAATACAATGGAGCTATAGTGATATTTTTGTGATTTGTAATATAGAAATGAAAGTCATGATTAAAGTAGGGCCTCAATTATTTGGCTCACATGCAAATTATGAGGTGTAAGGATAAAAAATGCCTTTTTTTTATAAGTCTTCAAAATATAAATGATCAACTCATAAAACGTTTGCTTTTGAAAATTCTAGAGAATCCTTTGTATTTATATTCTCATTCAACAATCAACAATGTATGTATATTAATTTTAATAGCCCGTTTCTGGCTTTGAATATCGATTTCTCTCTATCCATAAATAAATGTATAAATATATATAGAAATGATTATAATTAATATATATATATAGAGAGATTTCTAATACTAAAAATTGAAAATTTCTTAAAATACTATTGCAACTTTTGTTCGTAAGAACTAGAACTACTTATCCAAAATTGTTTTCGTCTATAAAAATATTTACATAAATATATTTGAACTTCATCGTTTTTATCAAAAAAATTTAGTTTTTATATTGTTAACAGCAAATAGGTTTTGGTCACAAATCTTGTTTTTTGGTCACAAACTAAAATAGTTGTGATATATGATTATTACATTTTCATGATAGTAATTGCGATCATTTTCTGCTATTTTTTAATTATAGTTTCTCCGATCCCTTTAATATATGGAATTGGTACGTATGAGAATTAATGTAAGAATATTAGTCACATGTGTAGATTTTAAACCATCTTTACAAAAATTGTATTTTCTTATCACTTTAGATGTAGATGCTCACCACACATTATATTACATTATATTACCACCATTCATTCTAATCATTTTCAAACTTTAATTGATTTGAAAGAAACATTAATGAATTGATTATAATTAAAAGATAGCATCATAATTAAATTTGAAGACTAGAGTCGGACCGAAAATATAGGTATTTCCTTATCATAAAGAGATCAAGAGAAGCCATATAAGCGTCTGTCTATCTAATGATAGCCGACACAATAAGTTACTTTTTCGTCTCGTAATTCTTTCTTTTTGGGTAAAATGTTAAATATTTGAAAAATAATAACGTTTTACATATGATCACTTGACATGTTGATTCCAAAGTACCAATGAACAATGTACAAAATAAAAAATGTCGAAGAAGATAGAAAAAAAAAACACAAGTACGGAAATGTATGATAAAAAATGAACAATACATATGATCACTATAGTATATATATCTCGCATTTTGGTTTTGGCTTACGAAAAACCATATAGTTGTTCACATCATTTTCATCAGGCTCGGTAACTCACATCCATATGTCTAGGTCTGGGCATTCGGATTTCAAATCGGATTCGGATCGGATATATTCGGATTCGGATAATTCGGGTATGAGAGTTTATTATCCGTTCGGATTTTATGATTTTTCAGTTCGGTTTCGGTTCGGATATATTCGGATTCGGATAATTTGGGTAGGAGAATTTATTATCCGTTCGGATTTTATGAGTCATCGGTTCGGTTTCGGTTCGGATAGGTGTCGGATTCGGATCGGTTTTCGGGAAAAAAAAACTTTAAAATAGTTCAATCTTAATAAAAATTTGTTTAATCTTACTAAAATTTGGTTAAATTTTGCTAAAATATGTATAATTTTAACAAATATAACTAAAATTTTTCCCAAATCTAGGATATTTAGGATATTTTTGTTATTTGCTATAAAATTACAACTAAATATAACTAATATTTTTGGATATATAATTTTTATTTCCGGTTTTCGGATATCCTTTCGGTTTTCGGTTCGGATCGGGTTCGGTTCGGGTAATTCGGATAGGAGAATTCATTATCCGTTCGGATTTTGTGACAATTCGGTTTGGGTTTGGTTCCGGATTTTTCGGATCGGTTTCGGATATGTTTTCAGATTTCGGGTTTTATGCCCAGGCCTACATATGTCCATGATCATGACCAAAAATCCATATTCCTACATGTAACATGGGATCATAATTTGTCCTTACTAAAATCGATAAATGTAAAATTGTTCGAGTTATTTATTTTTTTAAATAAAAACATTTGCTGGCTTTTCTTATCCCTTGCATGGCTTTTATTGACAATGTAAAAATAAGTAATTCGCTTAATTATTTGTATTTCACTTTTATTTTAGTTTTGAAATTGAGAAAACTAACTAATTATAATAATCAATGTATTAATACAAAATTTCTTTATGTTGAATATAGAATGGGATTTCTTCTTTAATTATACAGTACCATAAAAGATTCAATAGAATTTTAAAACAAATAAAAATAATTTTTTTGAATATTTTTGTTGTAATACCGATCAACGATGGTCATCGCCGGATTTTAATGATTGGTGTACCAGAATAAAATGTTCGTGATGTTGATCACATGTCATCATATAGTTGGTATATGTGGGCATGCAATATATTTAGTTCGTGTAGTTGATTGTACATTTCTAAACTTGGCATGTGTAGCCATGTATTTCGTTATACTTCGTGTAGCTCGGTATCTTTTTTCCTTATATCAACCCTATAGAAGTCAGCAACAAGGGGCCCTGCTTCTGCAAGCATAGAACTTTAATTTTGGTCCACCTCAAAGGAAAAAAAACAACTCAAAAGCTGCACTCGTGTGAAACATATTGGGATATTGTCAGAAGACTACACCACCTTCGAATTTCGTCGTTCACCATCTTACAAGGTCAAGGGTCCCTTCTTCTATACGCATGAATTATTTCTTGTTATGGCAAACGATGATCATAAACCGAAATTTAGGATCAATATGTGGAGCTTGTAATTGCTTATTACAGTATGTTAGTTTTCCTAGAAGTTAGAAGAAAAAAAATAGTGTATCAAAAAGATCAATGATATATACCAATAGACGATCAACTTAACCATTGGACTATCATCACTATGTGATCCTAAAATTTATTTGTTGTAAGTTGATCATAGTTGTAATATATCATTATTTTCTGATAAATTAAGGAATGAAAACTATTGCTGCAAAAAAAAAAAAGGTATGCAAACAATTAAACGAAAAAAAAAAAAATCAGATATAACTAAATAAATAAATTCAATTTTTCTTTGTTGTTGTTTAATTAGTTTAAAATTCTAGAAACCAGCACATCTAGAATTAATCTTCTTTCAAGCATTAAAACTTGAACTCACGAATATATTGGTCTTTTCACATGCTCACTCCTCATTTTGAATATTACATCTTCCAATTTTCATCTGTCATTTTCAAACTGTGGGAGATCGATGTCTGAGATGTAAAAACAATGAGTATCAAAGGGGACAGCGATGGACTTCCATTCTAAGATGAATTGTCCTTTTTGTAAATTTATCTATATAGTTGATAGATATTTTGTTTTTTTTGTTGGTAAATTATCTAGTTGATATATAGATGATATCCCTGACTTCAAAACAAGTATGAACAATATTAATACCAAAAATAATTTCAACTGTAATGTACTTAGTTATATAGATATTATTTTATGAAGTTTAGTAATATTAAGATTATAAGGAAAATTTATTTATAATTTTCAGTAATTTAATCAGTTACCTGGAAATTATACTAAAATGATCTGTTAATATGACTTGATACATATGGTTGAAACGTTTTGCAACAAATTCACTCATGATTCAGTGGAAATAGCTTAACAGGTTGAATCAAGAAAATTCTATAGGAAAAATATAACATTTACTGACTTCAATTTCTGAAGACGTACAACTGGTTTAATTTCTTAAAATAATATTAATAAATTATAAGAGATGATTATGCTTACAACGAGTGGAACTACAGCAAGTTCAGGTTATGGTATAAAAAAATTCATAGTTTTATAAACATGCATATGCTCTAATCCTTGTTTGAAAAATCAATATGCGCTAGTTGGTTGTTCGGTATGAGCCTAACTATTAATCGAAAAATCGGATTAAAATCGGAAACTAGTTTTACGGTTATTTTAATATTTTTAAAATATATTAATCTAATATTATTTTTAAAATTGCAGTAAACACATAAAAATGTATTTTTGAGACAAATTTTTCTGATTTTTGTTAAAAAAAATTATGATTTTATTAAAATTTGAACACAAGTTATTGTAAAATACCAGAAATTTCCAATTCAAATATTTGAATAACAAAAATAAAATTTGTTTTATATTTGCAATCTAAAAATAATCGGAATATGTAAGATTAGACGGAGAGTAATTGGATTAGGTAGAAAATAATCGGATTAGACGGAGAGTAATCAGGTATTGATTACTTTAAGAAATTAGTCATTAAATCGAGGCGGATATGGTGAACCTAGCGATTAAACGGAAAGTAATCAGAGGTACGCGGGATTTTTAGAACAACGACTCTAATTAGAGAATATTGTAAAAAAAAAAAAATTATTAATTTTTATAATATTCATAAACTATTCATAATTTTTTGAAATACTAACATGATCGGTATACATGTAATCCAAAAATCTACCAGAATTTGAATATTATATTATATTTGAGACCTACATATGTTTTAATATAAAAAAAATTATGGTTCTTTCGGTTCATTGTTCACGCATGCATCTCTTTGTCCGAAATCACTTTCCAGGAAGAAGTCTCCACTCCAACTTAGGATCTATTAACCTCTCCTTAAAACAAAAAAAAAGACCATCCACCACGACCGAGACATGCATGTTTATTTTATTTTCTTGTTATTTAATATTTTGATCAGTGATATCGTTTTCCCTAAGTAAAAATATAGATGTAAGTAAATAAAAAAATATGAAACTCTATTAAGGTCTAAGTCATAAGCAAGGAGATGAAAAAAAGTACATCTTAGCACCAAAAAAATTCACACGAACAGAAAATTTACACAAACCAAAAACCATATACATACTTTACACACAAGCAGAACATTATATATGTATGGATCAATCAATAAACTCAGGTCTATGAATGTGAATATAGAAATAGAAACTCTCTAAAACATATGTTAATCTAAAGGCTTTGATCAAACACCATGCTATTAAGTTTTTGTAGATTTTTACCGTACACTTCCACGTTAGCATCATGTAGTAATGTTGCAGCTTCTAGGTTTGGTGATGAGGAGGACGATGCTGATCTCCAGTAGTACTTGGCAATGTCTGGCTTCACTTCTGCTTCTAAACCAATTTCTGAGCTTTGGTTATGTTCTGTGTAATGAAGAATCTCTGATGCCCATGACTTCGTGTCTTGATGATGATCCAGTACTAATGGAGTAATATTACTATTGTTCATGTTTTGGCTAGCTTCTGTGTATTGATTACCAAAGAAGGCACTATAGATACTGTTGGTCTGAGATGGAACTGTGTTGCAGTAGTTGAGTTGTTCCCAGTTGTTTGGAGCAGGATTGAAGTTTGTAGTCATTGGTGTCGGAGATGATGACGTGGACATTGAAGAGAGTAAAGATACGATTTGGTCTGAAACCGTTGGAGTAGTATTACTTGAACTAAAGCAAAACGCAGCGTTTTGATTAGTCGTCGTTGTAGTCGCCGGGAACCACCATGGACCTGGTTGCGATGAGACGACCATTGACTGATCATGTAGGTTGTTTATCGAACCCGTTGACTTTACTAATTCTGATGACGTCAGTTTCTGATCTATGACGTTAAGAGATTGAAGCTCGCTTGTTATTAGGGGTTTATGTGTTGTTGGGTCAATGCCTTTTCTTCTCAGCTTCTTCTTAAGACATGAGTTCCAAAAGTTTTTGATCTCGTTGTCTGTTCTTCCCGGTAACCGCGTTGCGATTTGAGACCACCTACATATTCAATATGAATTAAGAAAACAATTTTCAACTATTACATTATAAAGTCAGAAACTATATATATAAATATAATGTGTCGCAATTACCAAAAAAAAATATAATGTGTCGCAAATTAATTAACCTGTTGCCTAATGCAGCATGGAGCTCAATGATTAAGCTTTCTTCGTCTTGCGAGAAAGCTCCTCTCTTTAAATCTGGTCTCAAATAATTTATCCACCTAAGTCTACAACTCTTTCCACATCTTTGCAAACCTATTTGATCATATATATCCACCAATGCATATTAAAAACATTATAAACGATATTTGTACAATTTTTTCAACTTTATATGATTAAAAGTACATGGAGACCGAACCTGCGAGTTTAGGGACAGAACTCCAACAGCCATGACCATGTCTAGTGATATAATTGAGAAGTTTCTCATCTTCCTCGGGAGACCAAAGGCCTTTTCGTAGCTTCTGCTTAAAACAACAAGAATGTCTTCCCATTTTTTTTATATGAGTAATGAAAGTATAGATTGTTGCAGAGAGTTAGAGAGAGTTTTATGATTTGTGAAGGTTCTATAAACTTGAAGATGAAGGAAGAAGATGGAGAATTATTATAAAATGAGAGAAACTATGATTGGCGATATTCTGGTGTAAACACTTTTGTTTTATAATCGTTGGGTGAATTAATTGATACCTTTTATGGGACCACCCTATACAGAAAAATCAAGAGATGAACTAAAAACATAGTAAATAACTATTTGATTCCTTTACAAAATAGAAAGAGTTAATACTTTAGTGGTAACACTTATAAACTATTTTTACTTTTTTTTTTTCTCGAAAGATATATAAAAAACGTGACATATACTGACATAACATAGTCAACTTTTAAGAAATTTATCTACAATGAAAAAGAAGAATCATTATTGTAGTCTGAATTTATTTCATTTTTTTTTAAAAGTATAAAATATTATGGTTATTAAAACCGAGAAAAATAACATGATGGTTAACATATAAGAGGAAAAGGGGAAACTTAATTCAGGGACAATATATTCTAGTTGAATTATTTGCTACGTTTTGGAGAGAATATGATTAAGGTATGATACATCGACTATAAATATTACTAGTTAATACTCCATCTAGCCTAAATATATATAAGTTCTACCTTTTTTTTTGTTGTTCCATATTTTATTAGAAGTTTTGTAGGTTTTTATGCAAAATTTAAATATATTTAATATTTTTAATTATTTACGTTATGCAGTATTGTCTATGATTGATTGAATTGTTTTAATTAAAATATTAAATGCTATTTTAAAGATTTTTTTAATATGCGTGCTTTTAAACAAAATGTCTTATGAAATAAAATAAAAGAGAGAATAGTAAAACTTAGTTTCAAAAACCAAAGAAAATTATGACCATAATTCGGAGTTTCCTAATTAGTAATAAAAGATAAAAAGAAAAATAGAGGGAAGCCATCGGTCAACAACAAACTCATTTCCATGAAAGCATTGTACGAGACTAAAATATTGTCCCCCCCAAAATGTCGACGGAATTTTAATACTTTTTTGTTTGTAAACGAAATTAATATTTTTAGTACTTTTTAATTTATTTTTCCTATTTTTTTTTAATCTCAAAGGAGACACCTTGATATGCTGAGAATGTAAAGAGTTCTTCAATTCAAGTACGCTAAGTGATGGTGGAAAGATAGCCTTCAATGTTTCCACTATGCAATAATTTGGTCGCGTAACCACCAATATTCTTATTTATAAAGACATTAATTTTAATAGTTACGGACTTGTAACTAGTAAGCTTTCTTTGATCTCACATCGACGAGGCTAGTCTAACGTGTAAACGAAAAAAACATAGTTAAGTTTGATTAAATAGCATGTTTCAAAAAAAAAAAAAAATTTCTAGCATGTTTCTACACGAGAACAAAAAATAAGTGTTTAGAAACGTATTATCGTATTTGCAATAAAAAATAATTGGGATATATAAGAAAATGCGGAAAATAATTGGATTAGGCGGTAATTAATCGGATTAGACAGAGAGTAATCGGATGACTGATTTTTTTAAGGGATTAGTCATTAATCGAGACGGAGATGGTGGACCTAGCGATTAAGCGGAGAGTAATTGGAGTAGGCGAGAATTTTTAGAACGGACATATTATGATAGGAGATGCGTTCTCATTATTATCGTATCATAGGAATGGAGTTTTATTTATTTATTTAATACTATCATGATGACTAGTTTACAACAAATATATTTTATTTCTATAAAGCTACTAGCTTAATTCGAGTCTTAAGAAATTATACAAAGATTAGCATAATTGAAGAATATCATTATACAACGGGAAAAAGCACTCGATCCTTTGTATATACAACTGGCTTGTCTCCTTTGACATATTGTTGTTACAGGAAGAAATCTCATAGATTACCTCAATTTTAATAATAGCGTGATGAGTTGCGTCACGAATGATATACTTATTTTATTTTTAATTGAAAAGTGATTTTGTCTTATGCATATCATTTACATGTATTTTAGCGTCTATTTTTACATTTTTAACATATTGTATAACATATTATTAATTTTCATTGAATCCTGAGATGTATAATTGTATAGAATAAATGGTATACTTTTGAATATTACCATTTCATAAAAAAAAATAGTAGGACAAGTAAAGGAAGAACGAACAATTATAATATACACATATTGACGTATATATATACTATATGAAGTTAATTATGAACTTATAAGAAACTAACTGCAGTGGATAAAATCAAATTAGGCGTCATAAAAAAAAAAAACTGTAATGAGAAAGTCATCCACTTATATTTTTATAACATGCAACTATTTAGCCGATGCCAACCTCTTCTGTCGTTTTCCAATTCAATAAAATCATCTTTGCGTAGTCGAAATTGGACTTAAAGGTTGTAAAAAGTATATATATATATTGGTATAAGCTAAATGTTTTTAGGTGCATAGAAAATTAGAAAGTCACGGTGATGTTTTTGTATAGTTTATAATGGAAATACAAAAGACTCGCCGCCTTTCAAATGATTGAGCATTTAAAATTTTCAAGTTGGAGAGAGGCTGACATTGACTTTGGTTTTATCTTCGAGAAGCCATGTTCATGAGAGTAGGACTTGCCTCTTTCAAAGTCTTGTTGAGAGTACTATTATTCGAAATGAAAGATCAATAGGCAATAGCTATAGAAACAAGAAGACAAAAGGAAGAAAAGATTAAAAGAGATATTTTAGATCAAATGTTTGGCCATTAATTTGGTCCAATGGTTTGGCTATATCGTTCAAATTAGTGTCATTACTAGAAAATGAGCTGTAAATTAATCATGCATTTTGTTAGGAGGAAAAAGTTGTTACGTTGTAGACTCAATGCAATGCATTGATATGCATCTTATCATTGACAATAATGTATCAAAATACTAGGATTTGTATCCGTAAACTCTTTGGGCTATAATTGTTCATAATCTTTAGTAGAAAAATTATATTATTACTATATAATGTTGAGTTGTGGAATATAAAGTTTATGTTCTTTATTTAAATCACTGTTGCAGTTTTATTGTCAAGAGTGAGAGAGAGAGAAAAATGTAGCCTTTAGAGCATTGACAGTGGTAATCTCTCACCAAAATCTCTCGGATAAAAAAAATTAATAAAATAATACAAACTATTATTTAATTGTGAGAGTCTCTAAAAAAGGTGGTGAGAATCTCTCAAGTGAGAGACTTTGAGAGACTTTTTCAATTTTTTGGAGAGACCCTCATAATTAAATAATATTTTTTATTATTTTATTATTTTTCTTTTACCCGAGAGACTTTAGTGAGAGACTCCCACTGCACATGCTCTTATATGTTTCGATTTTAGTTAATCTGTAGTGGAATTAATTACGGATTTTGCCTTTTTTTTATAATGGCATTTGTGGATTATGTCCTTTTTTGAATACTTTGTGGATTTTGTCCTTTTTCGGACCCCAAAAATATGATTTAACATGCGTTTCACTCGTTATGTTTGGGTTTAGTCGGTTCCATTTGTTCTTAGGGTTTAGTATTTGGTATAAAGTATGTATTTTTGCAAAAAAAATCATAAATACGTACATTTTTAAGTGTTAAAAATAGCAAAATCCGTAAACTATTCAAAAAGGGCATTTTCGTAAGTTTTTTTTTTAAAAAAGGCATTTTAGACAATAATCCCATCTGCAGTGGTCGAATGAATCACTATAATTTGTAGTTTTATTTATTTTTAATTTGTTTTTTGAAGGGTTTGAATTTGGAATATCAAATCCTAACTTATAACATTCTTGTACATCTATCGATTCTATCCATATGTTGTTTCTTTTATTGTATTCATAATGTAAATTAAATCGTTATGTATTTCTAACATTTCAATGGTTGCAAAATTTTATAGCTGCAAAATGAAAGAGCTCAATGTCCGATAGTGGCAAGAAAAGAGAGGACGATTTCGATGCAAAGTCAAAATAATAATTGTTAACAATATAATGTACTATAAAAGTAAATTTAATCTTCAAAACCAACATGTCAATGAATTTAGTAGCTTGTTCTCGAAAACTTATAAATTAGTTAAAACAAACAAACAAACAATGAATGGAGAAACTGAGGACGAATAAAAAAGGCCGAAACTAAAGTAAGAGAGCATCATTTTGTAGTAGAATGATGATTGCAAAAGTGGGACAAAAACTGAATTTTCATGATTTGGTCACAAGAATAATATATATAGATTGTGAAGAAGTATATTATGTTTATAACTAATAAAGTTAGGTATATATAAATAGAACTGGATTCTTCCAGTTTAAGTTATTACTATGAGCTTTATAAATTAAAAATGTAGAGACAATTTATTTTTGGAAATGAATTACAAGTATTTGTTAAATTTGATCATATTATTCATCATCCAATATCTTTTTAATCTAAATTAGCAATCCGAAATAGTCATTAACTCATTTTAAACTCTTTTTTTTTTCCATTTTCCAAGTTTTTTTTATGATCCATGTCTTTCTTCTTGAATTAATTGTAGAAGAATAACATTCACAAATTTGCACACAAAAATAATAATAAGAACATTCACGTAATCAACGAAGCCGTTTCAACTACAAAACTAGTAATAAACTATAGTTTATGAGTTAGGAACCTTTAATCCAACAACCAGCAAACAATAGGAGCATATGCTATCTTCACACTTTGTGTTTGCATTGTTAGTCCATGAAAATCGGTTACAGATGAATGAGCTAATAAATAGTCCGCATTCCTAAAATACATGTTATAATGTCATATCAAAAGTGTGAAGATACCAATATTATATATAGAAAAGTGTTATAAATCTCGTGTATTCTCTTGATTAATGAATGAGGTTACAACTTATATATATACATAATAAGGGAGACAAATCCTAATTGGACAAGGAAACCCTAAAGTCCAAAGCCCACTAAGACTAACATAAACCGTCATTGGACGAATCTTCTAGAAGATAGACATGGGCCTTCTAGAACGTGGAAATTGGCCTTCTAGAACATGGACATGGGCCACGGTTATGGAGTCCATCCGTAATGTGGTTTACAACACTCCCCCTTGGATGACATAACCGTGTAGATGCCAAAGGATCTTTGTAATGCGCTTGGGGATGTAGCCTCATTAAAACCTTACCAGGAAAACCCATTGGGACAAAACCACGGTGAAGGAAAAAGAGTACAGCACGCTGAAGAGATCGGCTGAGTTGTTGCTT